TACAAGCTAAAGAGTAAGAATCAGTTGAAATGACACTTGACATGAAGACATTGGAAGGTTTGAAGTCAGTTAAAGAGTAAGATATGAAAGCAGCTAAAATATCATTATAATCCATTAAAGTAGTGAAATTATTGGCTAATGAGTGAGCACTGAAAGTTTCATTCAAGATAATTCAAGATTAGAAGGAAATATGCCAAAATACAAAACTGATGCCATTGCGATCAATTGTAGAAAACATTAAGATTCAATATTAAAATGGAAGCGAGCAGTTGAATACAATGTATTACATTATTATTAGAATGATTTTATATTATTATTCATATTTATGTCATTGTATTAAATTACATAATAATAGAGGCAGGGTTTACAAAGAGCCAATGATGATACAATAAGAAAATAGATGTTCTTATAACTGTTAATACAGATCTAAGCCATAATTAACCTTACTAAATCCAAATTCTTATTATATTCCATTATATTCCCTTTAACACTGACCTGGTTCCAGTGATAGTTGTTCTTTTTTTATTTTTGGTCCCGAGTGACCAAACTGAAAATGTAAAATAAAAATTGTTTTTAGTTTCAATGGGTAAAAACCTTGACTAAGTAAGACCTGGGTGAAAGAAGTAGCTGTTCATTTTCTCCTGGATTGTAATGCATGCTTACAGGAGAATTAAATGAGGTAAAGCTATTCAGTTTTGTGTACAAATGTGAGGAGAGAACAGGCTGTAGTGATTTGATTTGAAGTCGCAGGGCAGACTTTTCTGTTGACCACCTCTGAATTTTCAGAAACTCTTGATAAGCTTGGTTGAATCGCATACTGATGCAATTGAGAGGTCTGAAGTACAGTGGACCATTCATACACCACAGAGAAGTATTTGCCGCTAATCACTACCACCTTGTACCACAGTGAAATAATCCATTGAGGCACTAAATGTTGAAATCCAAGACAGATGCTAAATGCCATAGGGCAACAGAAGGCATGAGGGCAGCTGGGTCAGTCAGATGTCGGCAGCGAGTACCAAACCAAATCACCCGTCTAGAGTAAGTTCGACCCAGATGCCCTGTGTCATGTGCAAATACCAGCCAAAAAAGGGTACGGATAACATACAGCCAACTGCCTGTGAGCTGCCATGACTGCAGCAGAAAGGAGTGTGGACAACGCTGAGGTCATGTGCCTGCGGAACAGATGTTGCCCTGCCCGACCCAAACCACACATGGTCCGGCAACCCAGAAGAACCTCCCCTTATTCTTTCACAAACAACAGACCCCTTCAAATTTAACTGCCTAATGTGTCCAATTGTGTAAATTGCAGTGTTTATGACTTTGCGGGGCTTGTGGGTAGCAAACAGGCAGTTCGTCTGGTAGCCTTTTGTTGGGGGATTGGAGCAGGTGTTCAGGCATTTTTCAAAATGGACTGTCACAATTCTCCAAGTGCAAAGTAGGGTGACGACTTTCAGTGCACAAGATCTCAGCTCAAGAGGCCCTCGGCTTGGCACTGCCACCACTCTACACACATCCCAAATACTGCAAAGACATACAAAAGGCAATACAGGCGATACCTAATCCCCTAAGCTCCAAAGATCTCTGGAATGTGTCACTATTCTTAATGAACGCACCAAATCTCTGGGTCCAAGTGTAAAGTGGCGAACATATGTGTCCGGATATCAAATCAGTGGTGGTGTCGGTGTTCCTAAATATCTTCAGCCACCTACTGTGAGATAAAACCCCCTGAGGAAAAATCTATTTAAAAAAATAACGCACAAGTGGATCAGAAGCTGGGGTAAACCTTTAAAGTGAGACTGTGAAACCTTTGAAAGGAGTAACACAATTTTCCTCTCATAAATGAGAAGTTATACTTTTATAAGAGTACTTCAACAATAAAATGCATCATAAAACCTCAAAGCAGTCTCAAAGTAGTGGACAGTGTTGTGTACTGGACACAATAAATATGCAACAGGAAGCTCAAAAGCACTGGAGGTTTTTCAAATTCAAGTTCCACAAAAGGCCACTCGATTTTTACAGGCTAATATAAAACACGTTTTGGTCTCTATAGCTAATATCCCCGTTCATGTCAACTGTATGGGGGGAGAATTTTTATATTACTCACCCAGTTAAATTATATTAAGGCATAAAGTTATGCGTATTTAAGGCTATGGTCAATTTGAGTGACAGGTGCGGTCACTGGCGGCCTTTAATTCTACAGTCTACGGTGCTAATGCTATCATAGCTGAACTTTGATGACGAACATGGTAAACATAACTTAATATTAGCATTAACTATCATTGTGGGCATGCTGACAGTAGCATTTAGCTCAAAGCACCTAAAGCTGCTAGCATGACTGTAGACTTTTACTGTTTGAACTTTTACTGGGACATTATGGTAAAAAAAAAAAAAAAGAAGAGCTGCATACCAGAGAGAAAACTGTATGACAGTATTTTCATTTTTACATTTTTTTATTATTATTGTTTTTCTGGATCTCATGATTTAAATGAGTCACAGGCTCATGATATATGAGCACTGGCCTGATGTAACTGCACATCAACTCCTCCTTTAAACCACAAGGGATTAACTGAGAGTGAGAGTGAAAGAAGTTAATATACAACTCCCAGCTGTAGTCATGTTAGAGAGACCTTTTTGTGTTTGGTTCAGAAGTCACGTGTCAGCTATACACTCTTTACTGGCTGTGTTTTTAATTTTGAATCAAAAGAAATTATGCTGTTATACTAATCTGACTATGAGGATCACTTGGCATGTTTTTGGCACTCAAAAGCATGAAGAACTACAACTGAACATATTTCATCACTTTGCAAAAAAGCAATGCCTCCAAGCCTGGTTTTATTAGTCACTTAGGAGCACAAAGAAACCACCACCGGCGCTCCTATGAGCATCTGTTTAGCGGATAAAAGGCGTTACCCGGTGGACACAAGACGTCAGGCGTCTGCCAAATGTAACTACAAAGTGGGTCATGTAAATGAGAGGGAATGATCCGCAACAATGGGCTCGCAGATCTGCTGTGGGGAAGGTACAGGTGGCGGGGCAGCCTTGCTGACAGATATTAGATCGAAGAATCAGAGCCGCTCTCTTTCTCTTTCATACATACTGGCATCAGGCCTCCCCACCACAGCATCACATGCTGTTGTGAGCCTGTGCTGGAGTCTAAAGATGGTACCTTATATGGCAGCAAGTAAGCCAGAGAAGAGTTATGTTAGTTTGGGGCTTGCAAGTGCTGCTTCAGAGGGCTTTAACAGCATAAACATGATAGATAACAGCTATAAAATGCTGTGTAAGGTCAATGTCCATCTAAATAAGATAAAAATTATCATTTTAATTACCATTTAATAACATTTTAAAATATATAATACAAAAAACTGCTTTTAGAGCTGTTTTGAAATTTACTACAGGTAAATGTAAAATGCATATGATTTAGGTAGCAGCTTTGAACAACTAGGAATGCTTTAACCTTAATGTTGGTGCCATGTTTCAGTGTTGATGCAGGCCACTGAAAAAAAATCTATTCAGTGTCAAAATGTTTGCTGTGTAGAGATGTTAAAAGCCAACGAGGAAATGGGATTGACGAGAGAGGGAGAAAATGCAGGGGGTCTCTTTCTGCTTTTATTGTCATCCCCTAAAAGGGTTCATCTCAGCATGTCGCTAACTTTTCACACAGAGATTGGGTTTCCATCGTCCTAAGGCTCTCAGCGAGGAGCACTAACAGTCTATGAAGAGTCTGGCTGCTGAAGGCAATTAGCAACTGACTTGTTATCGTCAACACAGGGGGCTTCTGGGAAAGAGTGGAGGGTCCAAAGTGATCTAACTAGGTCATTTGAGCTATAGCTGAGCTTTTTTTTGGGGGGCTTGTATGGTCCCCTCACTATTTAAAGGGGCCTAATTAACGCAGTCACATTTTTATTGGGGTTCAATATCTGTGACACCACAATATATTTTTTAAAATCCATTTTAAAAGGTTAGGTTTACATTCCATAGAAAAATCTTGACACATATTCCAACCCCGCCCGTCCTAGAAAGGGGATTAGACCACAACAGTAGAGAGTGGAGCAAACAGGCTATAAAATCACCGGTCCAGCTTTTTGTGGTCGCTTTTTCCTTCTCTCATAAAAGCCCACCACTCCATTTCAAAGACAGTTCCAGTCTCAACAATGGCTTGCAGATGTATAATGGAATTATTTGAGGTAAATTAGATGTTATCTACACACTGTAAATACTGTATGTCTAGACTTTAACACGTATTTCTCTGCATACTGTAAATAATATCGGCACAACCGTGTTAGATTTAAATCAAGATGCTTCAGTGGAATAGCTTTTGGGCAAATGTGCTTCTTTGCTTTCTTGCCGAGAGTTACATGAGAAGATTGATGCATGTCTGCTCACTTTGGAGCCAGAGCTAGGAAGTGATTAGGTTAGCCTAGCTTAGCATTAAGACTGGAAACAGGGGGAAACGGCTAACAAGAAATTGTTAATAGTTAGCAAGAAGTACTCCCCGTAAAACTACAAATTATTGTTTTCACATTCTTTTTGTACAGATTAAACAAACAAAATCGAACGTGTGAATTAGTGAGTTTTAGAGGTGCTAGTGAGTGTTTGGCTTGCTGGAAAGAAAGTTAGGAAGCATATTTCCCAAAATGTCAAACTATTCCTCAAAAGTAAAGTTTTAAATTGAAGTAGATTGTATATAAAAGATCAGGGTGGCCATAATTCAAATTGTGTGTGCAAGTTTCATGTGGAGACGCATCCCAGACAGTGAATATTGCGAAAGAATTGGCATGCTATAGGAGTGATAATGCACTCTAAGGTGTTCAGGTATTGAAAAATAATGAACTTTAGCCAAATTCAGCATCAAGTGCCCTTTGCATAACCTACAAACTGAAGGTCATCCTCAATATTATTTAATTAAATGCTGACTGAATAATAAGTATAAAATGTTGCAGTTTTGAAAAGAATCAATAAAGTACTACACAGAATTTATGTTAAATCCACAATACCTGTTCCACCCGGATCTCATATTCTCCGTTCAGCTTCTTCCCTCGAAAATACTTCGCCCTGCAAAGAAACGGAAGACAAACTGTCAAGGAACTGACAAAAAGTATGCTTTTTATATACAGTTCTAGCCTTTTATTTAATGTATAACATGCATATATGTCTAAAAATTGTATAAATTACTATATTGCAAGGTTTGATTTGTTTATCTTTAGGACATATGTGTACTTCAACATGTGGATTCCTCCCCTGCAACAACAGTACCGACTCCTAACAGTCAAAACAACCTTAAAATATCCTTTGTTTATTTGATTGAAGGAGAGCTGAAATTTCAAGAGACCTTCCAAAATACCTTGTGAGCGGGCAAAATAATGACTCATATTTTCCATAATTACAGAATCTGACCTTGTGGGGCTTCAAGTAAACAGAATCTCTTGGCAACAAGTGAAATACAGTGCTTTTAATAAAGAGAACTCACTGATGATCCCTGTGTGTGATTGTTCTTTGTTTTACTTGTGATGTTCTGGTGTGTGTGTGTGTGTGTGTGTGTGTGTGTGTGTGTGTGTGTGTGTGTGTGTGTGTGTGTGTGTGTGTGTGTGGGGGTCAAGGTGAAACTAAAGCCTGGTGGCTACATTTCTGTTACTGTTAAATACATAAAAAACCTCTTTCTCTATCTCTATCTCTTATTGTTTCTAAATGTAGCACTTGATGAAGCTGATGTACTTGTATGAATGTACTTTTTGGGTTGTATCCACATAGCTGATTGCACTTACTGCATTGCTAAATAAATGTAATGCAATATAATGTCATCAAAGATACACATCAGCTAGCACTGCTATAAAGTTAAAGAGACATCTGATGATCACATGGAAAATACTGGAATCATCCAGCACTGATGTACTTGATTTGCAGTCTGAACCTGCAAACTTTCAGTTACTGGAAGAGTTATCTCCCAAACCATCAGACCTGCAGTATTTAGATTGACCGAGAGATACATGTGGATTCACTGTGCTATCTAAATCTGGAGTTTGTATACAGAAAAACCACAGTGGAAAGTTGACGTTGTAGTTTACATTTGGTTCATTTAATTGCACATTGCGCAATTAAACATGATCGTCTTCGATGCACACTTCTTCTTCTCTGATGTTCAGACAGTTGAATAGATGCTCTAGCGATTTTGTTTTGTACTTCCATAAAGTCAGATGGGCCCGCGTTTGCAGCACAGGAGACTGTTTTTACAGTCTGAGTAGTGCCCTCCGGAATGACTATGACCTTTATTTGTAACATCTATGTTTTTCCTCTTAAAAAAAAATCTAATTGATTCTGAATATCCATCCAAATTCTGGCAACACCACCGGCCTTTTCAGCCCATTATGACACATCCAGCCAAGAATTGCTGACTTTGTAGGACCGTGGCCAAAATGAATTGCTTTACAGCAGGGGTTCGGCAACGGCTTTTGCCCCACAGACAGTTTTGTGCTGACATAGTTACCCAACTACTCCAAAAGAAACCCTCAAGCTTTCTTAAACTCTCAAAGTTTTGCTTTTTACTCATGTAGCTAGTGGCAACAGCAGTAAAATCACTGAACATGCAGATCTATTAGCCAAGTGGTTGATGAGGACTAATGAACTTAACAGATTAATTTATAGCTGAAAATGGGTATCCTGTTGTTGTGGGAGTGATAAAGAAAGATGGAACAAACAAAGACCATGCCAAGATCATGGTCTTATTTATTATGAAATTAGTATTAATGGCAATGTTCTAAGGCCTGGTACCAGTCCACAGCCCAGGATTGGGAATCATTGCTTTACGGCACAAATCAGACAGACTGTGACGTCTGACAGTGCAAACTGTTTTCGTTAACATGAGTCTTACCACAGCAGGGTTTTTAGGAAATGATGTTTTAAATTGGAGAAACACTAGAACATACATACATACCTGCTCTTATTCGACTTTGACAATGTAATAAACACTTAAAAATGGAGAGCCCTTACCGCTTGTGGTTCTCGGATTCTCGCACATTTTCAGCCATTTTATTATTTATAGCCATGTTGTGTCCCAGTGATCTGTGGGTCTCACAGTGTTGAACTCTCACCCCTTGCAGGCGTGGGACAGTTAACAATCTGTCAAGGGCTTCAGGCTGGAGCTGTGTGTAGCTGAGGATCTAGGCTATACGCTGGAGGCCTTTGGTTACTGGGACAGGCTGTTTGGGATTTAGAGTGCCTCTCGACCTACTCACACCAAAACACATTTTCCTTTTGCAGCGTTTTGTCTCAAAGCCTCTCACCAAACAAAACCTCAAAACCTCTTCCACTTGTCTTCATGTCCTCCTCTTTGCTTTTCATCTGCCTACATCTGTCCTTTCAGGTCCGTTCATTAACGTTCATTACGGCCACTGAGGGGGATCTTGTTCTTAATGTCTCCCAGCTGTTGGACTTTAAAGTTTTGGGTCCCAAGCTGTCTCATTCTCTGTAATTTTGGAAGCCGTGAATCTTCAGCATGACTGACCTACATACTAGACAGGCGATGCCCCCTGTCACCCTGGACCACCACCACAGAGAATGAGGCAGGACCTGCAGGCTCACCACCTAAAAATGACTGGTATGCGTCTCAAGGTATTGCAAAACATTTCGTCACTTCAAATGATCGATTTAATTTACAAGCCGCTGGGCTCTCGGGTTTGAACAACTGCATTATATGTGTTCAGACGTAAACATTCAGCTCCGCAAAGAGGTCTGGGCTTTCCTTCTCCCAGTCGTGCACACACCCTCTATATAAACACCATGAAACTGAATTCCTTTTTTTTTTTTTTTTTACCATGAGAATATGTTCTTTCTTTTGTGTACCACTAATAGGAAGCGTATGAGTCATGTATGTGGACAAAACCAATTGCCCCTCCAGGGTGTTTCTATTTGTATCTACTCCGCTAAACTTGATGTTGTACTAATACTGCTGTGTTTACAAAGCAGATTTTCTATGCTGGACACATATTTTTACATGAAGATTAAATTCCCCATGTGTTGGTTTAGCTCATGTTTTCTCCTATGAAGGACGCAAGGTTCCCAGTGATAGGGAACAGTTCAAGTTTCATCATAACCTTGACTCGTGGGTTAGTTATTGTCTGTCAAGGCCTTAAACCGTCAACATTGTCATTCATTTCGAGCCTCATTTGTATCCACCTGATAAATCTCAGTCCATTATTTACCCTCTTTTAGCTCTGTTGGGTCTCCACCAACTCAGGAAAATATCTGGCACATGTGGCACAAACATGTAGCTAGTCGTAAACTGTGTCTGCCCGAACAGGTAGCATAAGCCTACAGTGGGGTTATCAGAGCTTTTTCACAGAAAACATCTGTGTGTTACAGTCAAAAACAAGACAGATAAAAGCAGCAAGACTGAATCAAAACAATATAGCTGTGGGCCAGAAACCAAAACAATGAGCTGAAAGTCACTACAAAACTCTGTAGAGCTGAGGGTGGCTGTATGTAGTCAGGTGATAATTCTCTGTGGGTTAAGTGATCTGTTTTTCTTACAGTTAGTCGTGTGATTCGTTGTTAATATAAAAATATTAATCATATCCACTTCAACATGAGATATCATGTCAACTGGTTGATTAGTGAGCTTGTTAGTGGAACCCCTGCACACATCAAGTGCTCGATGTGAACAAATTGGAAAGAGAAAAGAAAAACTGGGAAAATGTATGTACTTTTCAAGGATTAGACAGCGTATTTGTATATTTGTGTTTGTGTAGCTCATTTTGAATCAATCTGATTTTCTGTAGGACATTACTTGGTCAATCACCAAACTTTTCAGCCCTTTATGAGGCCAAAAACAATATCTTTAAGAGGCACCATTCCCCTCAGTTTCATCACAATCTGAACAGAGATGTCAGGGATGTGATGGTGTACAGACAATTCGGACACACTTCAATCTGATAAAAAAGACATGGCTAAAGACAATGGGATAAAGTTGTCCTACTTTCCTACTGTCCAACTGTACCGTTTAAGTACTTAAATAGTTCTGGTACTTGTAATATTCGCCTGCTGGTGTTTGCAGAATGTGAACTTTTGCCCTGTTTGTGACGTACAGCATGGATTGATAAATACCACAAGAAGGTTTTCTCCTTCTTTCTGCCCTTGAGATGTCCGGCAGTATGTGGGCCCCTGCTTTTTCTTTAGACACAACATAAAATTAAAACCGTCTTCATATGGCTGAGGGCAAAAAGAGGATCTCGTAGTACTCATGTACATGAAGAAGTAAACACTTTGCCAGAGCGGGGCTGAATTGAGCAATCAGACGCTCATATCATTCAGAACACAGTGCAAACAGACTGACAGCTTCTTGGCAAAATGTCTTACATGTCAGCCTGAGAGAGAGGGAGAGAGCGGGAGAGGGAGACAGAGACAGAAAAGGAGGGATTGTCGGTGGTGGCGGTGATGCTCTCGGAGACTTTGCCTCTGTGCTGTGTACTGCTATTGTGCATCAGTCATTGCTGGAGGCCAAGCCTGTCAGGACAGAGCAGCGTTTCCCCAGAGACCTCAGCCTCTCTGCTGGAATGCCCAAGAGGAAATTCAACCCCAAGGCAGGCAGCGATGGATGGACGGACGCCCTTGCCTTCCACTGTGATACCTTCAGTCAGGACAATTCAGAAAGACAGCGCTATCGGACCAGTAAACTTGTCTTGTATCACAGCAAAAGTTCGACAAAGATCCATGACACTAAGAGATAAAGACACTAAACACACTCCACGTACATTAACAGAATTCAACAGGAATATCTTACAACAAATTTTCTCAAGCATATTGCATGTTTGCACTTTTTTAGTTTTAGTTTTTTATGTGAATCCACATTTTATTTATACAATTAATCTTTTGCCCAGAAATAGTGCCCCTCTTTGAAACATTTGAAACAGCTGATAATATTAATGGAGCTGAAACAATTAAAAACATTTTGATAATCATTTTTTAAGCAAAAATGCTTCTAAAACTTGAATGTTTTCTGCTTGTCTTCTATTATATTAAACTGAAAACTTTTGGGTTTGGGACTGTTGGTCAAACAGAAC